TCACTAAGGGTTTACAAAATGCATGTAAAAAGAAAAATACACTCTATAGGGAATACCTAAAACAAAGAACAAAAGAAGCTGAAAATAAATATAAAAAATACAAAAATAAGTTGACCAATATTATACGTGTATGTAGAAAGGAGTATTATAGTAAAATATTGAACAACAATAAACATAATATGAAAGGAATATGGGATGTTTTAAACGGTATCATTAAAAATAATTCTGGACAACAAAGTTATCCACAATACTTTATCGATAATGGCAATATTATGGAAAACACTGCTGATAAGGTCAACAGCTTTAATCATTATTTTGTAAATATTGGACCAAAACTGGCAGAACAAATTCCTGAGTCACTGCCATCAGTAGAATGTAGTGAAAACCTGATTGATAGGAACCCTAACTCAATGTTCCTCACATCAGTGGAGGAAAAAGAAATAATTGACATTGTACACATGTGTAAATATAAAACATCCACTGATTGTAATGATATTGACATGAAAATCGTCAAGAAGGTCATTGAAGGAATTGTAGGACCTCTAACATATATTTGCAACTTATCATTTCAGACGGGAAAAGTGCCAAACAAAATGAAAATAGCTAAAGTTGTGCCGCTGTATAAAACCGGGGATAGACGCCACTTCACAAATTACAGGCCTGTTTCTTTACTACCACAATTCTCCAAATCCTAGAAAACCTGTTTAATAAACGATTAGACAAATTCTTAGATAAATATAAATTACTCTCTGACAGTCAATATGGATTCAGATCAAAAAGATCAACATCTCTGGCATTAATCGAATCAATTGAGGAGATTACGAATGCTATAGATCAGAAACAGTATGCAGCTGGAGTATTTCTGGATCTCAAGAAAGCATTCGACACAATCAATCATGACATATTAATTAATAAACTGGAACGGTATGGGATTAGGGGGGTTGTACTGCAATGGGTGAAAAATTATTTAAGTGACCGGAAACAATTTGTGAAGCTGGGTGTCCATTCCTCATCATGCTTGGACATTGCTTGTGGTGTTCCACAAGGCTCTGTACTGGGTCCAAAATTATTGATTATTTATATAAATGATATTTGTAAGGCATCTGATATATTAAAATTAGTATTATTTGCAGATGACACAAATATTTTTGTTCTGGGGGGAATCTAAGGAGCTGCTGGATACAATTACTTCAGAAATGTGCAAAATTAAAAAATGGTTTAACAGGAACAAACTATCGCTAAATCTAAGTAAAACTAAATGATCTTATTTGGGAATTCCCTTAGAAATGCACAAGTGCAGATTCATGTAGATGGTGTGGAAATTGAAAGAGTACTTGAACATAAGTTTCTTGGTGTGATTATAGATGATAAATTAAACTGGAAGTCTCATATAAATCATATACATAACAAAATTTCAAGAAGTGTCTCAATCTTGAGTAAAGTAAAACACATTCTGGACCACAAATCACTCCACATTCTCTATTGTTCCCTGATTGCACCGTATTTGAATTACTGTGCAGAGGTTTGGGGCATACTTACAAATGTTCGCTATCATCAATCTTTATATTACAAAAAAGGGCCATAAGGATAATCCATAAAACTGGTTACAGAGATCATACAAATCCATATCTTAAAATCAAAAATTCTAAAATTCACAGATCTGGTTCATTTTCTCACAGCACAAATTATATATAAAGCATAAATAACCTGCTTCCTGACATATTCTAAAATGTTTTCTAAAAGGGAACGGGGATACATTTGAGGGGGGAATTAAATTTAAAACATCCTCGTATCCGTACAACATTAAAAAGTTTTTGCATCTCTGTGTGTGGAGTGAAGCTGTGGAACAGACTAAGTAAAGATATGAAGCAATGTCCAAGCATGGCGCAGTTTAAAAAGCGGTTTAAGGATATGGTTTTTACAGGGTACAGGGAAAAGGTAGAGATTTGATAGGGTGTTCTTGTCTAATATTTCATGTGTGTGCGCATGCACGGGTTTGTTGGTATGGGTATATATGTATGTGTATATGTATGTATGTATGTATGCATATATTTATATGTGTATATGTATGTGTATATATATATATTATATATATATATATATATATTATATATATATAATATATATATATATAAATATATATAAAATTGTAGGTTGTGTATCCTTCAGGTGTTAATGGGGTTATTGAAAATGTGTATATGTGCGTATGTGTGTATATACGTAGGTATGGATAGATAGAAACATATATGTGTATATATTAAAAAAAAAATAATAAAATTACACATAACATATAATGTAATTACAAGGAGGTATTTCTGTAGTCTATTGATACTAGATAGTGGAAAAGGGGTGGGATTAAATAAGCTTATGCTTCTTCCTGCTCCTTTTTGAACATGGACGTTATTTGGAGTTGTGGTTGCTCGTTTTCCTTTTGTTTGCTTTGTTCATTTGTCTCTTTTAATTCTATTTTTTTTTTATACTTTTTCAACATGTTCAAAATAAAGATTCAATTCAATCAATAATCAATCATTACTACTACTGCCTATGGCACAATGTTACAATACTTAACTCCTCCTAACACATTCAGGCTTTTTAATTATGTTTTATTTATATAATACCAAATCTCATAAACTCAACATTTATGTGGTTACACTCACCTTTTGCTCTTCCACATCCTCTTCTGTCCTCTCCTTCAGTCTGTGCTTTCCTTTTAGAAGAAGGGGCTGTGCTGTCATATGAAGCCCTGCAACAACAAATACACCTCAATATTTCAACATTTCCTAAGTCCCAAAGGAAGCATTTGGTACTGAACAAATGACAACACAGAGCGCACAAGATGGAAAAAAAAAGAATGTGCATGCAGTAAACCCAAAGAGAAAAATGCTTCTGAGCATTTCTGCAGTTTAGTAAACGGACTGGGACTCGTAATGGTTCAGGGCAACTTGGGGGTTCATATGCTTAATGATGCTTCAACATGTGGCGTTGAGGAATGATCCGCCGACCTTCTGATGGTGGATGCTCCTCTCTACCGCCTGAGCCACAGCCACCATCAACAGTACCAACACTACAGCTTACCTGCATGTTTCTCTAGTCTCCTCGATCTCTTTTAGTTCGTCTTTACTGTGTAGGACTGCTCCGATGCTGTCTGCGCTTTCAGCTCCCAGCTGTGGTAACGACAGAACAAGTAAATGTAAAGGCCTCCTGCTTGTGTTGTGCCAACCATACAGTGCCGACTATGAGAAACATTTTTTAATAAAACACCCCTTGGTGTTTTGTACTGCTGGTACATTACTCCATATCGTTATGGATAATTGTAATGGGTCCTCAATGCGCTCAAATCTTTTATTTACACGTACATTGAGTCTGCTCCTCTCGAGGGCGACCACTGTGAATGTTTGAAAGGGATAGGCAAGTTATCGGCACCCATGCATCGATGTGTTGGACGGAAACTATATGAAAACCCACTTTGCATATAACACGCTTAGCTCCACGTTATTAATACAAATCCGTTAGTTTGTAGATACATTGAGAGGCAGCTTGGGGGCTCGTTGTGTACTTGCCTGTTGAGCTAACAGCTGCCGCCTAAGTTTTTGTCTCTCGCGTATCTCTTGAAGACGACTGTTCATTGCGTCTCATATACTGTGTTCTGACAAACTATTAAGTCCCTTGGCCGCTGGTGTAAATAAAATATTTTCATATAACACTTATAGCTATCTGTAACAACAGCTAGCAACCGGCTAATGCAGGTTAACCGCTAAAAAAAAAAGGAAAAGTCGATAGATGCAATTGATTTCCACACCCGCACGCTCAGGCTCAATTTATTGCCCTTCCGCCGGTGGAGTTTGTTCAAAATGAGAGTCAAAGGCACATGTGTATTTGAATTTTGTTATAGCTCGTATACAGTTATGCCTAACTGTATTGGTTAAATCATCAAAGTATGAACAATATTTGGGTCTTAAGAATAGAGCGATTTACCACCTGTCTCGGCCATTGCCGGTGTACGCCGGTATTAAATAGAGTGAATGCCTTTGTGATTGAACGGACGCAGCGTGATGATGTCACAATCGCTGACGTCTCATGAGTCGTCTTCCAATCAGAGACGGTTAGTTCTTCTCGCTCTTCAAGCAGCAGCGTACAGATCCCACGAGTGTTCCCGACTAATAATTTAAACACCAATCACAACAGAGAGCGCTCACGTTACCCCAAGACGTACCAACCACTGACATGTAATGTTTAGCAATTCCAGCTCACCTCACTGCGATGATTTCGTCGCTGACTTTATTGGTGATACGTTTTCATGCACTGGTTCATTGATAAGTAATTCTTAGCATTTGTTATATTTCACAATCTTTTAACTCGTGTTTTTAAACTCTTGCAGTCACAAAGGATTCAAGTTGCGATAGACAATGGAGCGTATTCATTTTTAAAGGAGAAGATTGTACAAAATGATAAAAGCAAGTGCTTCAGATAGCTCAACTGCAAGAACGCACCTCAAATTAAGTCCTTACAAATCGGCTCCAAATGACTGAATACTTATAATTCGAGCAATAAAAATAACAACACCACGGTCTATACCATGCATTTCATGTTTTATGTTATTGGAGCAAATGCCCTCATGTTTGAGAGCATTTGAATGCTGTGCGTCAGGAGGAGTTGTAGATTGTATTTATAGAATATTTCTAAACTACTTGGTCGAGTGGTAATGAGTAGTAAAGGGTACTGAAACATATAACACAATGCCAAAATAAAAGATCTAAAAAAATATTCCTATTTGAAAATATAGGTACACTACAGTTGGTCAAATCAGTCATCTGAGGAAAATTACTTCCATCATGTAGCCCATGTTATTGAATTTTCGTTGGAGGACTGCCTTGCCTATACAAAAAGAAAAAGGGTTTCATCGATCCGCAGCGTTCTCACTCTCGTCCCACGGCTGGGCGAGAGGCTGACTGGACGCGTGGAAACCCTTAGCTGATGATAGGATCCGTCATAGCCCTAACATGAATGTGCCATTTTTTGTTTAAAAGCCGCTCTTTTGGCTGCGATCAGCACTCGCTGTTATGCCAGCAGCGTCCCTTCATTCATCCTGCCGTTCACCGACTGTGCCGGGAGTCGTGGGAAAGACGGCTTCTACCGGGGACGATAGACGTCACTGAGTCCGCACCCGGTGTATGAACTGGACCGAAGTCTCCGGCTTCGACGAACGGTACCCGGGCAAAGGCATAGGCGAGCACAACCACTGTCGCAACCCGGACGGCCGAATCCGACCCTGGTGCTTTTTTAGGAACCACAGAGGCAGAGTAGACTGGGTACTGCGACTGTAAACAAGGTAAACACGCAGGCCTAGTAGCAGCAGCTTTATTGTGTTTTATAGGCATTAACAGCCTCGAAATTGTACAACGTGGCTACAAATATTACACCTAGAAGAAGGTGAAATCCCCAGATGAGCAGGATTCAAGACATGCTACAGCAGATAAAAGGCCAACATGAATGGAATGAACATTTTTATAGGGGCTGAGAAGCTGTTGATACATGTGTTTTACAGTACTGTGCAGCTGAGTCATAGAGCATCCACCCATGGAATCATTAAAGCCTACCATACCTTTGGTTTACCAGGTGTGAATGTAATTGTTCATATGAAATATTTGTGTTTTCAGCTCTTCCTTTTTTAAAAATCCATATGCAGCTGTATTACATTACAGTTTTGGTGTCAGTTATTGAACGTTTTAACAATTACATGCCGGTAAGTCAGGTGTTCAGATTCAGTGTGTTTACAATTGCACATGGAAGACAGCCACAGGGTGCTCAGGCACCTATGAATATTTAGGGCATGAATTTGTGTGAGTGTGCGTTGGCATGGATGTGCACCCAGGCATTCGCTGTAAGCTTCTTACTTTACAATGTAAAGCAATCAGGTTACCCTGATGCATGCTCACACACTGAACGACTATACCTGCAAATAACAAATCTGAAAAACACATTTTGTAATCATCTTATATTTATCTTATTCTTCTTATATCATATTGATCTTATGGGTTATAAATATTTAGGTCATGAATTGCATTGTGGGCAGCACAGGAAGAACACATCTCTCCACTTTTGAAGGAACTGGCTGTGCAGATAGATAATATCAAAAGGTGTGACATTTAAAATAAACAATCAGACATATCGTTTGCATTCTTTAATATTTCACTTTTTGACATTACTGTCTTATTTTTTTGTGTGATGTGGTGAAACACACATGAAAACATGAAAACATGGCCGGTGATCTATGTGTGTTTTAGAGCTCGCATAGTGTCTCTTTTTCTCTCCTGACTTTGTGCCAGTTTTAGCCCCCCCCCACTTTAAACTCAGGTGTTCCCCAAAAAGATTCTTTTGCACATTACATACAGTTTTACATCTACTTTTCTCCAACCGTCTTTCCATCTCAGGCTCTGTCCGTCTGCAAGGTGGCCGCTCCAAGCTAGATGGCAGGGTGGAAGTGTACCTTGGGGGAACGTGGGGGTCCATTTGTAGCAACGACTGGGGAGACGAAGATGCTACAGTGGTCTGCAGACAGCTGGGCAAGGGGTGAGAGAGAGCACAAACACGTACACATATGCTTAAATGTGCGGTATTTATTTTATCCCTCCCTCTCACATACGTCTTTAGACAGAGGTGCAGGTTCTGTCACCATCTGCCGTTAAATTCATAACTGCTAACAGAGCTTCATTCAGGCACGCTCCTCTTTTCTGCTCGATGCTTCTTGTTTGACTCTTACATTCCAGCCCTCTATTCCCCAGAGGCACTTAAATACCTCGAGTGTCGTGCCGTTTACGTTGTTTCTCGCATACTCGTCCGTTCTCTGTTTCTGTTTTTCACATGTGCCTCTTACTGTGTCTCGTGGACTTGATTATGAGATGTTGTCATGCTTCTCAAGGGAGCCTGTAGTCAGATTGTATATAACAGCACAGTCCATAGTCAGTTGAGAAACTGTCCTGCTCTCCCTGGAGAACAGAGAAACTCTTTGACTTATTGCACATGCTGTCACTAACACCAGCGCTGGCACACGTTCTGATACGAACACTTGCCCGCGTGTGTTTGTACTCACACAGGAGTCAATGAAAGTCCACAGCAGAAAGGAAGAAGGGCAAATGTCAGGCATATGTCATTTGGAGTGCTTGGTGATGACTTTCACATGCTTAATTATTGAAAGCTGTTGGGTGTAAGGACTACTAACGGCATTGGCCCAGAGCAACAGATTATGCATGTGCAGACAGCTCAAGCTTACTGCTAGCAGGTTAATAAAGCTGCCTGCTTGTAATTTGTAACTCTTGTTATTAAATGAGATTTGGATCAGTGTCAGGTGGCATGATGGTGCTGTGTGGAGCTTGCATGTTTTCCCTGTACCTACTTCCAGGTTATCTGGTTTCCTTTAACATTCAAAAGACATGTTAGGTTAATGACTCCTTCTAAATTGGCCGCAGAGAGGATGTGAGAGTGTAGTAGCCCTGTTATGGACTGTTTCTGGCCAAGTGTGAGTCGGAATAGTCTCCAGTCAACCCGTGACCATAATTATGAAAACGGATGGAGGGGTGGATGGGTTAGAGTCAGCTGGAATATTAAAAAGCTTTTCAAATTACTATAACTAACATGTTTCCCTTTTGATGTTCTTCCAGATTTTCAGGTCGCGCTCGAGCAGTTCCTCTGTTCCGTCCAGGCACAGCCAAGCTCCACTGGACGGCAGTCCATTGCCAAGGCAAAGAGCCAGACCTGCTCCAGTGTCCCAAGGCAACCTGGAATGGCGAGGAGTGTTCTCTGGTTGCAGCTGTTACCTGCAACCAGCAGCCAGGTAATTATAGATCTGCCATGGGAGGTTTGTGAGAATAAGTTGAAAGAAATCAAATGATCTTACAAACTACAAATTTCAATAAATATATACTTTAAAAATATACAAATAAAAAAGCAGCATACTGTGTGCTTTTTGCTTGCTCACACTTCAGCAGGTGTGTCCCTTCCCATAAGGCTGGTGGGAGGCCGGTCAAAGTCAGAGGGCAGGGTTGAGGTCCTCCATGCCGGGGAGTGGGGTTCCATCTGCGATGACCAATGGGATGACAGTGATGCAGAGGTGGTGTGTCGACAGCTGGGGCTGAGGTTAAGTCGTATTGACACACACACACACACACACACACACACACACACACACACACACACGCACGCACAAACACACACAATGATACAAATGTTCATATTCAAATTAGCATAAAGGAAATACACTGCCGGTGTGACAGAAGTGAGAAAAAAATGTGTGGCAGAAAGATACAGAAGGCAGCTGGAGATGAGTTTGTGCGGGTATCCCTCCGTCTTTCTCTCCCTCTGTCTCCAAAAGTATGACAAGTATTCTTTCTATTCAGACACAGAGAAAGAGGAGCAAGCAGTAAAGAACATCTGGGGGTCAGACAGTGAATCAGGCTTATTGTTCCTGCTAGAATTCTAGCACCACAGAGATATGCATATTTAGCAGCGCTATACAGGGAGCAAATACATCGCAATGTTTACATTTGCAGGGATGTGCGTGACAAGCAGTGTCCCGATATTAAAAATGACATATAATGTGCTCACTCTGTAAATCCTCTAAATTAAAGGAGAAAAGGATACGGTATTGTATGCGCTGCATTTTGTACGTCATGTCCAATGAGCACATGTGTTTTGCATTAGTATTACTAGAGCCAAAATGTCTTAGAATTCTGCATCTTTCCTTTTCTTTGTAGTGGCGTTGCAAGGGCATGGGGCCAGGCACATTTTGGCAAGGGTTCAGGCCGCTTGTGGTTGGACGAGGTGCGTTGCACAGGCAATGAGCTCACTCTGGAGCAATGTCCAAAAAGTGCATGGGGAGAACACAACTGTCTGCACTCTGAAGATGCAGGGGTCTCCTGCAATCCTCTTACAGGTAGATCACCAAATAATCATTGTTAGGAGCAAAGACATCAAAGTGGGATACACACAGACATGTTTATATATATAGAAATCAAAGCTTCTCACCTTATACCGGAAACATCAGGAAGTTCCCATGACCCTTAAAGATTTTGCTTTTTGCTTTTGTTGCTCTCTCTTCCCACATTTTTGACGTATCAAGCACAGGTGTAACTGATAACATTAACAACAAGAAGCACTCTGAGAGCGCAAACCTTCACCAAGGCAGCTCAGCCTCTGGATTGTATTTACCTTTACGGGAGTAGAAGAGGTCTGTAGTAAAAACAATTGGCCTGTTTTAGTGCCCTGTGGAAACTCATTTTAATATCCTTGACATAATTTAGATTTTTGTTACCCCCCCCATAAAAAGAAACTTTTTCAGATCCATTGTATATGTATTCCAATTGTTATGTATTTAAAGAATTATAACCTGTTACTGTCAGTTACATGAGAAAGTCATAATAAAATATTGTGATTTTTGTAATCTTACTATATCATTCGCTATATGTGTATATTTTGTCATTACAGCGGCAGTAAGAAACAGTTTTAAAAAGTGCTATATAGCATTATTAACTCTTTGACCTTCATATCTAGTCAGTCTTTTGACCTTGAAGGAGTGGTCAAAGGTCAAATGTGACATGATACTTTAAATTCTTACCAATAAATCCTTAGGCTGACCTTTGGTAAATTACATCTTGGTGCATTTGGTTCAGACAGGATTGACCAGAGCTTTTTTGTTCATTACAACATCAGTAATTACACTCTGAACGTTTACAGTGCAGTTAATAGCTTTGCTGTGCTCCGTTATTTCCTGCAAAACTTAAAAAAACGATAAAAGTAAAATATGTGACTTTTGGAAGAAATCTAGAAGAAATTTATTCACATTCAAAAGGAGATTTCTCTTTCTCTCGACCCGTTTATCCCCAATCACTCTCTCACTTTCTCTCCAGATGGTACTATTAGGTTGGTTGGGGGTGCCGGCAGCCACGAGGGACGTCTAGAAATCTTCTACCGTGGTCAGTGGGGAACGGTGTGTGACGACGGCTGGACAAACTCAAACACGCAAGTGGTGTGCCGACAGCTTGGCTACAGGTAATGTAAAGTATTTCCCACCCGTTCACACACCTTTGTATTTATTCCAAATCATTGCTCATAAATAACTTAAACATGTTTGTTTGATTGCGGATGTGTGTCTGCATGTGCAGGTTCGGAGAGACTCTCTCTCCTGGAGTGCCAGATACTCCAGTTCCACGCTTTGGGGTGGGCTTAGGTCCTATTCTGTTGGATGATGTGAGCTGCACGGGGAAAGAACCTAGTTTATTGCTGTGCAACAGGAGGGAGTGGCTGCACCACGACTGTACACACCAGGAAGATGTTAACATTGCATGCAACCCTGAGCACAATGGAGAGGGTCTTCCAATCAGTAAGAGAATACATTAAAAGGTTATATATGGGAGAGATGCATGGTTTTGTATGTGGTTATGTATACTGCAACTTGTATGTGACTATATATATATGGCACAGTTTTTTTTTGAAGCATAGTGCTAGTTGAAGCTTTAGGCTGGATTATTATAACAACATAGGACATATATTGGGCGTGCAGGCATGCATAATCTCTAAATCTTTCTGGATAATGTTTTAGGAAAAGAGGTTGTTATGCACACATTTACATTCATACTGTTTTTTCAGAAATATAATTCAGGGCTCGTAGTTCATCATAAGAAAGAAGTGTATTTTTACATCCCCTTATGATATTTTAATGCTCTCCAGTTTTACTGATTTTAGTCTATATTAAGACTTTCAGTATTGCTGATCAGTGGATTTTGTTTTTCCCCCTCTCATGTTTGGTTGGCCTTGGCCCAGTAGAGATCGCCTCATTGCATAAATGGGATTCCCCAGGAGTCAATCAAACTGTTGTACTTTCCAAGAAATGAATTTAGTTTCCATTCATCAGCAGAATGTCACTTGTGTGTCAGTCGGACCTATTACAGCTGAAAGATCAACATCAAAGATAATAAATCTGGTCTGTTGGGCATGCACCACGCATTCAAAATTTCCTTAGAATTACACAACAGGCTTTGCTTCATTTCAAATACTGAACAGAAGGTCATTGCCAGTTTTCCATTGTTGCTGTTTACAGAAAAACAAAGTGCAGAAAACACACATAAAGAATTATACTAAATATGGAACTATATTTAGTATAATTCTTTCATTTTACATAAATGTATTTTAAATTGCTGTTACAACAATATTACTTTATATCTGCCAGGCCCACTGACGCCACCATCAGTGGGCCTGGCAGATATAATCTGCATGAGATATTCTGATAGATCCTTTTAGGATTAGTGGGCTAAGCAAATGTAACAAGGGAGACTAATAAATACACAAAATTATTACTCTTAGTAGCAAAAATACAAATTATGAAGGACTCTTGTATCCTGGCTTTCCACTTGTAGGCCAACTTTATAATCAGGGAGAAATGGCTGTTTAATTTGGTGGGTTTAGCCAAATGATTAAAACGTCTTTGTAATTTGCCTTTCCTTTCATAAAAACAGATAATGGAAGGGCAAGCTGATCTGAAATCTGTTCCTGACATGTCTGCCACAACCTGCAGGCAATTAAACCTCATCGTGTGTAGAAAAACAAAGTCAGCCTTTTTCAAGAGACACAGGGAGAGGATGATATAAGCCATGCTAACTCTAGTAAGCACAGCTGTCAGTTGGTTTTTCCAGCCTTAATAACTTGGCATCATGGTAAAGTCATCATGATCAAATGACTCCACTACAGACCCTTTACCTATAAGTCCTGATGGTACAATCACATCTGCCAGGCACCAGTGCACTAGTATGGCCAACCTATCGCATAACACAAGATCTATGTCTATAGCTTCCAGACAGCAATAAAGTTCTGCAAGGGTAAGAGATGCTGGCGGGTAAAGTTTCATACATCTCTGTATGGCTCAGATGTCTCAGGTTTCAGATCATTCTGCAAATGTCGCGTGCACAAGTCTAATAAGTCTAGCCCATGACACAGAAAACACTGTGTTTTTTACATCCTGAGTGAGGGCAGGTTTGAAGTTTGTGTAGAGAGAGCACATACAAAATGAAATGGCTGCTTAATTTGGTGGGTTTAGATGGCTTACATTGTTTGGCAATAGCCTCAGGGACGCTCTTACCCCACAAAAATGCAACTCAAGAATTCTGTTATTACTGTGGAGCATTTGTATGCGCGTCTGATTACGTGTTTGCTTTTGAGTGTTTACATGTGTGAGCAAAACCCCACTTCTTCCCTCGGCATGCCAAAGACAGATCAGGCTGTGTTGTTTTTGGAAAAGGGAAAAAAGTAACTAGCCAGGCAGGATAAACCAGGCACTCAGCCTTTCACTTTAACTCTCTGTTGTGATAGATCATCACATTAAGGCCGTGTCAGAGCAGTAATGTAGCGTGTGTGCATATCTTTACTTTTATTACTCATGCTGAGGGGATATAAATATGGCTCCACATAGTCACATTGAAAAGACCTTCCCTCCTGAACAGAGCTCACTGATGTAAATCATTAAAATCTACACTAAAGCCTTTTATGTTAATGTTGGCACTTGATACAGGTTATGATTAAAACTGGGGTAATCTGAAGAAAATTATATAGGTAATGTTCACTAGTTGATTAAACACAATTCTGTGTGTGTTTGTGTGTGTGTGTGTGTTAAGACAGGAAGAACTGTTTGTGTTTCTAAGGATGGACAAACATTTCCATAATTGCCAACACCAACTAAGATGTAAACATTCCCACAATTAATTCTCCCTCCCCTAAATCTCACCCTTCTAAATGTCCTATGTCCCAAAAGCACAGTCATTAAGAAAATTTTGGTATTTCATTTACTGTAATAGAGCCAGAATCATTTTATACTGAGGTTCCCTGCTTAGGAATGTTTAGACTACGAAGCACAAAAAAATGATATCTCTGAAATGATCTCTTAAAGAAACAAAGAAGGACGCAAAGAAAGAAAATTCCATGAGAAAATCTTTCTTCTTTCGATCTAGGTATGTTGATTCAGTGGCAAAACAAAAAAAATCAGATTTAGCTGAAACTTAGAAAGAATGTAAACTGATCCTGAAAATGTCTACAGACGGGAAAGACATTAGTATACACTTAAATGTGTTTGGTGTGAGTGTGTGCGTTTGTGTGTGCATTTTGGGGCATCTGTATGTCACAACTATTAGATCAATGTAAGCTTATACTGATTTGATTACAGTGTAGCGAACACTTGAAAGAAAGAACAGAGAAAGTGTGTGCGTGTGAAAAAATGAGATGAGAGCCAATAAAGATAAAGATAAACAACCACACACACACAACTACACACACACAGACTGTGTTTTCGTGCAAGAACATAGACAGGTGTTCCAGCTACTTTATTTGTAGAGGGCATGTACACACATGCTTCTATTCACTAGACAGATCAGGTTTGTTAGAGGAATGTTTGCTTCTTTGAACATTTCAAGACTCTGGGTGTTAGACATCTTCAATCAACTGAGCCAGCATGTGATCTTCATGCACTGTCAGCCTAAACTGTTGTGTGTGTATGTGTTCTCAGGTGTACCAGTGAGACTAGTAGGAGGAGAAGCCCTAGAGAAGGGCGTGTCGAGCTCTATCTGTCCCGTCAGTGGGGACTGTCGTGATGATGGTGGACTGATCATGATGCTGAGGTTGTCTGCAGCAGTTGGATATAGGTATTTAAGTTGAATCGGCTAATTTCACACACACACACACACACACAGCATTGATTCACTAGCTCATTATGTCCCAACCAATCCTTTGATTGACAGTATGTCAGAAAATAATAAAACTGGTTACAGTTTTTTCTGATTGCTTAAGCACATTTTTTGTAACTATTGGCTAATTTTGCAAAACTCTTCAAAATAAGAAAACCTGTCACCCAATTATCAAAACATTGTAGTTCTCTTGCAAAAGCAACACAGCTAGATTAACTCTTCACACCTTCGTAAAAATGGTGTTTCCGTATCAAACAGTACACACAAGCCATCATCTACTAAGCACACAATGCGCCAACTGCACACTGATGGTATGAATACAAACACATCTGGCTTTTGCTTTCTCTGTGCACAAGGTAGGCTATGTCAGTTTGAGCTCATACTTCTGTCATAGATCCATAAGCATAGAGGGATCCAAACTTCAAGTACTGGTGTTTATTCAAACACATCAAAACAAACACAAGTGTTTATTTCCAAGTATAGGATTATTTGCAATCGCCATAATGACTATATGGGTTACTTGGTCTGCAGTGAACATGCTTCCTCTGCCCCCAGCATCTGGTCATCTAGCAATTCTGTAAAATAACAATTTCAGTATTTTTACATCAATGGTATTGGTGTGTTTCTCATTGGCATATGGCAGTGCTACAAATCTTTGTGCGAAGTGACTGTAATAACCGATTCTCATTTCAAGATGTCCTTATGGTACTTGCTACAGTGTAGCGGCTCGAGTTAGGCTGGACCCGTTGGCCAGCTACCCTCAGGGTCACTCCACGGTTGATTACATGGTCCACTATTGTAGCTCTGATGTCATCAGTAATTCTATTTCTTACTCTTCCTACCCTTCCTCTCCCCCCCTCATTTTCCTCTCCCCCTCCTCATTTTCCTCTCCCCCTCCTCATCTTCCTCTTGCTCCTCCTTGTCCTTGTCGTCCTTATCCTACTTCTTCACCTCCACGTCCTCTTCCTCGGCCTCCTCTTCTTCTCACTCTTTCTGCTCCCTCCATTGTACTCCGCACACACAGCTTACCTGTATTATAGTGCTTAGGCAGATTGCAAAGTGAACGAATTATCTAAGAAAGTTTTCACATGTGAAAGTGTGCCAGACAGTTGGCAAATTAGTGTTAATGATAGCCATACATGTGTATACTTTGGCTAGGAGTTGTTGGAAATTTGGTAATTGAGTGTAAGCAGTGAATTGTGCCTACAGTTTTGCAAAGTGTGTGTTACAAAATTGCAAACTGAGTGCAAAGCAGTTTTTGTGCTTTTAGTTTTGCAAACTCAGTGAGTGGTTTTGCTATAAGTCTGAATAGTTTTAGAGATTGTGCTACAGGAATCACAGTTAGTGTTTAAGCATTCAGAAAAAACTGTAAAAAGAAAAAAGTGCAAGCACTTATGGACAGGATCAGCATCACTGAAACAGAGGTACTGTGAAGTGTTTGAGAAAAGCTTAGCTGAAAGTTGTAGAAATGCAATGTGATCTCCTCGTACATTATACTCACTTACAGTTTTTTCTGAATGCTTAAACCCTAACTGTGATTCCTGTAGCACAATCTCTAAAACTATTCAGACTTATAGCAAAACCACTCACTGAGTTTGCAAAACTAAAAGCACAAAAACTGCTTTGCAATTTTGTAACACACACTTTGCAAAACTGTAGGCACAATTCACTGCTTACACTCAATTACCAAATTTCCAACACACTCCTAGCAAAAGTATACACATGTATGGCTATCATTAACACTAATTTGCCAACTGTCTGGCACACTTCACATGTCAAAACTTTCTTAGATAATTCGTTCACTTTGCAATCTGCTAAGCACATACAGTTTTTCTCAATGCTAAAACACATTTCACAACGTTACCACCAGGTCCCCAATGTCCAAACACAACACCCTTCTCTAAAGCTACATAAACACAACCACACCTTCCCACTGCAAAACTCAAACTCCCACACCAAGAGAGCAGCTCGAAGCTGTCAAAACTGTAAACACTATACACAGCATTACACACTACAGCAAAACATTGAAAACACAATGCTCAATTTGTGAGAAGGTCTTTGTTTCATAACTGCCAATGCATATTTTAGAAGCTATACAGTACGGATCGTCGTAGATCTCTGCAGAGGATTAGGCATTTAGATTTGTGAGTTTCATATGAGTAGTATAAATCTATAGAAATCCTGCATGTACGTACACTACTGTAACACAATCAATGCAAAAACAGAATCTATTGCACACAACAGTATCTTGAAACATGAAACAGGGTGTGAAGTTTTTTTATTTACACACAACCACACCACAATCACTGTGCGGCATCATGTCGCTGAGCTGTTGCTCGCATCTCGTTCGTAATGATGGTGCGGGTTGTCTTGCTCTCCCTCCTGGCCTTCTCCTCTCCATGTTGGCCTTCTCCTCTTCCTCGTTGGTCGCTCCTCTTCCTCTCTCATTTGAACTCCTCTTCCTCATTGCCTGCTCCTTTCTTCCAGGGCCAGCTCTTCTCCCTCTCTGCATCAAATTCCTCTTCCCCTGACTCTGCCTTCATCCATTGTGTTGTTTGGAACTTCAGCATACTGTGCACTCTGAACTTGCTTTTACATGTGGGTACAGCATTAGCAACAAGTGTCTTCAATTTGAGTCATTGTGTGTAGTGAATGACGCCAGGTGTGTTCCCTGTGTTCAAAAGATTGGTGACTGTGGCAAGCATTTTGCATCACATGGGCTTTCATTTGAGGATATGAGCAGAGTTGTTTTGCAACATGTGTTTTAGCAAGGAAAAATGTGTTTAGATTTATGAGTACAGAGGGTTGTGTTTTGTGAATTGTGTCTTCATGTGACATGTGTTTATGGTACTGGAATATGGTGGCTACATTTAGTAAATGTGTTTAGACTACTGGTCATTTGGGTTACAGGATTGGCTTTTGTGTTTTAACATTTGAGAAAAACTGTAATACAGGTAAGCTGTGTGTGCGGAGTACAATGGAGGGAGCAGAAAGAGTGAGAAGAAGAGGAGCCGAGGAAGAGGACGTGGAGGTGAAGAAGTAGGATGAAGAGGACGACAAGGACAAGGAGGAGCAAGAGGAAAATGAGGAGGGGGGAGAGGAAAATGAGGAGGGGGGAGAGGAAGGGTAGGAAGAGTAAGAAATAGAATTACTGATGACATCAGAGCTACAATAGTGGACCATGTAATCAACCGTGGAATGACCCTGAGGATAGCTGGCCAACGGGTCCAGCCTAACTTGAGCCGCTACACTGTAGCAAGTACCATAGGGACATCTTGAAATGAGAATCGGTTAGTACAGTCACTTCGCACAAAGATTTGTAGCACTGCCATATGCCAATGAGAAACACACCAATACCACTGATGTAAAAATACTGAAATTGTTACTTTACAGAATTGCTAGATGACCAGATGCTGGGGGCAGAGGAAGCATGTTCACTGCAGACCAAGTAACCCATATAGTCATTATGGCGATTGCAAATAATCCTATACTTGGAAATGAACACTTGTGTTTGTTTTGATGTGTTTGAATAAACACCAGTACTTGAAGTTTGGATCCCTCCATGCTTATGGATCTATGACAGAAGTATGAGCTCAAACTGACATAGCCTACCTTGTGCACAGAGAAAGCAAACGCCAGATGTGTTTTGTATTCATACCATCAGTGTGCAGTTGGCGCATTGTGTGCTTAGTAGATGATGGCTTGTGTGTACTGTTTGATACGGAAACACCATTTTTACGAAGGTGTGAAGAGTTAGTCTAGCTGTGTTCACTTTTGCAAGAGAACTACAATGTTTTGATGATTGGGTGACAGGTTTTCTTATTTGTGTGAAGAGTTTTGCAAAATTAGCCAATAGTTACAAAAAATGTGCTTAAGCAATCAGAAAAAACTGTAAGTGAATCCAGACTGAATCTACTCGGTTTGCAAAATCCATCACCCCATTTCTTCATCTCACAATCCTTACCTGCTTCCATGTTGCCTTCATCACACGTCTGAAATGCTCAAGTTTATTTACAGTTTTTAAAAAAAAAAGCTACAGTGGATTATAAATCATAAAAAATGACTGCGTTTCATTATTTATTAATTTTCTTTCTTTGATTGTAGTTGTTAAGATGTTTTGGTATGAGCTTTTCATGGTGACCTTTCTGTTACCTTTACAAAAATAAACATTCGATTTAAAACACAGGCTAATGATGCAAAAGTCACATTTCAAGTATCGGATATGTTTCCTGGCACTTGTCCAGAGGCCTCCTTTTCATTTTCTCTGAGACGCCTTTTTGTTTTCAAGAACAATGACAATGAGATGACAAGGGAAAACTTTACTATAACAAACTGTCTTATTTCCTTTCTCATCACTCCTCAGCAAAGATATTCATGCCTTAAGTCACCAAGTTTTCTGTGACACATCTGTTTGCAGATGAAAGCCACATCTGGAATGCATAAATGTTAGAGAGCTAGTGGAAAGTGTGTTAAAGGCATGTAAAGCCATGTTGGAATTATCATTCTGTCTCATACGGGATGTAGTGAATGGTCTGCAAGGGTTGCAGGTTGCTCTGGTGGTGATAAAAAATATACACATATATGTATATGTACACAACTATACAGATTACCCCGCCTCCCACTCTATGGCAGCTGGGATAGGCTCCAGACTCCAACAAACCTGAATTGGATGAGCAGAAAAGATGGATGTATGGATGGTTTTTTCCACAGCTATGTCATGCACAAATGCGGAAGTCTTGTGGCAGAGGCATGGTTCTTGTCAACAACTCTGCTTATCTTGCAGAGTACTTGCTAACAAAGATTGTCCTAATATCAAGAGCTTCACTTCCAATAAAATAAACAGAGAAAAAAATGTTCTTTAGCTAATGGGTACATTTACAATGGGGCTGAACGCAAGGAATATTAATGGAAGCACATGAAATATGATGCCTGAGAAAACACTTGGCCCTCCTTTCCAACTTGAGTGGTTTATAGCCAAAGCAGCTCTTTTTTTTAACTGTTGTTGTACGTTAACCGCGGGTTGCCTCGGAGATACACCAAGCCAGCATGATGTCAGTCTTTAGGCGTTGCTCCAAGCAACTCGGAGGGTCACTTTCTACATACATTGTCTAGGGAGCTATTGAACACACAGATACAACATTAGATGAGTAAGTAAGAGACACAAGGTTCCCAGTGGATAACGAGACCTGTCACCCAACATACTCCAGGGATGCAACATAAGACCTTCTCTTTCTGTTATCTATCAGTCTTAATTAAATTCACAGTTACAGTCTGTACCTACACAAGTTCATCCTACAGGCCAGTGTGTGTTAGTTCTTTGCTAATTTAAGTCAGGGGTGAGATAATGGTGCAAAGTTTTGCTATCCTTTGTCAACCTAGTTTGCGTCACATTCTGAGAAGGTCAAATGTTAACATCTAAACCAATTTGTTGTCACCGCCTTCACTTACGCACCTAAACAGGTCTATGTAACAACAATAATGTTCAACTCTTATTTAAAGACATTTGTAAATGGAATTTTGAAAAAAGCCTCATCACTCACGTCAGTCAGTTTGTCTGACTTGTTACAGCTGAAAGATAAACAAAAGACGTCTGTTCTGCATGCGCCGCACATTCAAATTTTCCTTAGAATGCTACACAACAGACTTTGCTCCATGTCAAATACCAACAGAAGGTCATTGTCAGAGTTTTCCATTGTTGCTGCTTGTGCAAAAACAAGTGCAGAGCTCCAGTGCAGTTCCATATTTAGTATAATTCTTTTATTTTACATCAATATATTTTAAATTGCTGTGGCCATAATAGAACTTTATATCTGTCAGGTCCACTGATGGTGGGCACTAACTCTTCTTCGGAACTACCATCAGATCTCCCACGTTATCTAAATATTTTTACTAAGACTTACTTTTTTACTTAATTTGTGCCACAGATCTTTTTTCCCCTCTGATCATAAAGAACGTGTGTTTCTCAGAATGTGTTACTTTTTGGACAGTTCTGCCTGTTCTTGTGTTTGTTTTCTATAACTGAGAAAGCGATGTAGTGAAATGCGTATACGTCTGTCCTCTCAAGTGGCGTGGCAAAGGCCCGCGTGATGGCATACTTCGGTGAAGGGACGGGGCCCATCCACGTGGACAATGTGAAGTGCACTGGTGAAGAGCTTTCTTTAGCTGATTGTATCAAAGAGGTTCCAGGAACACACAACTGCCGCCACAGCGAGGACGCTGGGGTCATATGCGACTACGGAGCTCCGCAGCCCAGCTACAAAGTGGTGAAAGGTCAGTCAGTTAGTCAGGACCTGGTTTTCACTTTATAACGCTGAAAACAAATAGAGCTTCTATTATTCATCTGGAAACTATACTGTGTTTAGCAAACACGTCCAAAATGTTATACACACCCGAAAACTCAAAAGATATAAATGGCTGAAGAAAGGACCAGCGTAAGAGTTTAAGCAGAAAGTGTGGGACTTCGATGACTGTGTGTATCCAGATGGTAAAATGGAGAGTTTTACAGTATTATTGCTTCATCCTGTCAGTGACACGTCAGGGCAGACGCACAAAATGCTCTCCATTACCTGCACATGTTCTGATGCTACCATTTCTCACATAACCAATGCAGGACTGTATTTTGTCTCGTTTTGCATGTAGTTTTGGACATCACATAGACAAACAGTGAAAGGAATCACTTTATTTATTTATTAATTGAATTCAGGTTCATATTATAGTAGGAAAAGAAGAATTATGCTTCTGACCAGACTAAACATTTAATAAAACCAACACTGGAGCTGAGATGTATGGTTTAGCAATCATCACCCTCCCACAGGCTCTCAAATATACACAACCACTGGTCCTCTTTGTCTCTGTCAGATCCTGTGGACTCAATTTGCGGTCTGCGGCTCATACACACTCGCCAGAGGAGAATCATAGGAGGAGAAAACTCTCTGAGGTAAGTTGGCAGGGAGAGCAGGGATTAATACCAGCATGGAAAATCCTGTCAGAGATCTAGAATAAAGAATAATGGCCACATTTTCAAGCAAACCTTAGATAGAAAACAGCTGATCTGAGGGCTATAGGCAAAGAAAACTGTGTGTGCAGACAAACATCAAGATACATTGTGTGGGGACGCATGTTTTAAAACAAAGCAGGTCCATACACAACACTGTGAAACAGTATTGAGCCACCCCTTATTTCATTTTATTTAACTAAGAAAATGGGAAATCTACCTCTCTTTTTTGGATGTCAGCTGCCTTTTGGTTCTATAATCTATTAAGATGATCCCACCCTTCATTAATGGTGAACTTCCTGCACTTGTCTAGTATTCTTAATTTGTTTAAGAGCACACACCGTGCCAAGATGTGCCACGTTTTCAGCCAATAGTTCTTTGTTTTTTGTAAAAATACAATTTTACCTTTAAGTTATACAAAGTGTGTGTTTATTTGATGTTTCTGTCACAAGCTGCTAGTAAGAAAGTGCCTAAAGATACAATTTAAAGTTCTTTGGCTGTTTTCTTTGTAGGGGTGGCTGGCCATGGCAGGCTGCTATCCGTTTGCGAGGATCTCGAGTAGATGGGAGGTTGGTTTGTGGAGCAACTCTCATTGACACCTGTTGGGTCCTCACTTCGGCACACTGCTTCAAAAGGTCAAAAACACACATCCGCTATTACACAAATACACTGGCTTTTTTCATATCGCACATATTAGACTTTTGAAGTGGAAATGTGGATTGTGCTTACACATATTTTGCTAAGTCTTAAAAGTGTTTTGCATAAAGTAGGATATTTGAATTCATCCCAAAGCAGCTCGACAATGTGTGCGCATGCACAAGACTGATGAAGGGCTGAGAACTGAACATTTGAGCATTATTCAGTGCTGGTTTGGCTGTGGTTATGGTGCAGGTGGCAGGAAGAAAGGCAATTGCTTCAACTCAACTTCATCTGGACTAGAGGCCTCCACATGATGCCACAAACCGAACATCTATCACCTAACGCATACAGTAGAGAAGGCAGTGGAAAAACAAATAGTCCACATTAAATGTTTACACAGTACATGTTGGATTGTCAGGCTTTATTTTACTGATAATATATTTTGGTTGTTACTGGGTTTTAGTTCCAGTGGTGGGGTTTGGTGGGAGAACCAGAAGGTCCATGACTATAAATCCAAGTGTTTCCACATTTCAGAGAGGAAGAAGTCTTTCACTAAATCTTTCCCAGTGCCGTTTCCTGAGCCATTTCCAGACCACTTTAGCTGTCAGAGGCTGTATATGCAAGAACTCCTCTCCTCTGTGAAAGTGCTACTTTCAGCTACTTCGAAACGATACACAGGAAGTGCTCCAAATTAACTATACTTTCTTACAGGAGGTAGATTTAGGTAGTAGTGATTACTTGGTGATTAGTTAATCACCAGGGTAAGATTAAACTGACGACTGTTATACTTGCTCAAAAGCTGCATTGTAAGCCTTGTGGAACCTTCGACAGTTATCCTCAAACATAATGCTTTAATTGTTCTTGCGCTGCAAGAGAACGTTTCTCATAGTTTTCGTGTGGCTGCCGTTTTATTGATTCAGAGGGCCAGAGCTACTTAAGAAACAGCCTAAAGGAACTCACCTTTTAACTTGTGAGGTGGGGCTAACATGGAAGACTGATGAATGAGAGCCAAGTTTATCTAATATTAGCATCTCATTATTAGCCTATTCCTTGAACAGTACAGCTTCTTGACGTGTTTTCACTGCAATTTTAAGGCTTATCTGTATTTCATGAAGTCTAAACTGCAGTCACCTGAAGGCACTTTTCATTGTGAAAGTCATCAGAGGTGTGAAAGTCTTTTGTGCTGTTTTGTGTTGCGCTCGCTGTTTAACCT